TGATGTTTGATGATTGATGCTGACGATCTTCATTGCATAATATTGTCTTATATCTATGCTAATGCTCGATGCTTGAAAAAGACTATCTATAGTCGCTATCTACTATCTATAGATTATCTTTTGTCTCCGGGCCCTTCTTTGGGTCGGATGGCCAATTTGCCTGCCTTGTCGATCACGGCTTCAAATCCGCTCCTCTCCAATAGGCCGCCCTCATCTTTTACTACTTCCTTTGCCTCTAGCTCTTCTACAAGCTTTTGATTCTCGCGGTTACCCTCTAGTAGGAACTTCAGGCACATCACAGCGTGCTCCTTGATGTACGGGTTGTGCGCATCAAAGTTTGTGCACGAAAGGATGGTTTCAACGCCGCCATGTCGACGAATTTGATCTTGGACCTCTGGGCACTTCCAAACCAGGGATGAGAGGACGAGCACGACAAGCTTCTTCAAATTGCGCCACTCGAATTCAGACGGGTCTTCGGTGATTGGAGGTGACTCGGCTCGAGACACAGTGCTGCCCTCAACAGGGTCCGGATCGCTTGGATCGTAAGGTCGTTCAACCGCGACCGGCCCGGAAGCTGAGCCTGGGTGGGACTCTTTCGAGGGGCTATTGCGTCCGAAAGACATTTGGCTCAATTGCCCCTTAGGAATACTGGCCTCGAGCTCCTTGATCAAAGTAACTAGATCGTAGACAATCTCCCACTTGACTAGAAGATTCTTCCAGTCATTGTTTTCGGTAAGGACGGCAAAGAATTCTAGGAACTGGTAGACGCCCTCGTAGACCCGTTCCATATCCCACAGGTTCAGAGGGAAGTCTTCAGGAAGTGCCCGACCAGCTCGAATTTGCCCTTGGAGGTATATTAAAGCGCAGGTTTCTGGAATGATATTGCCGCGGAAGATGGTGAATATGTAGCGGACTGTGAGGATATCCACCCTGGAAAGCGGAGCCGGGTTCTTCGCTGTGTTGGTTTGCGTTGACCCTGTGACAGAGGCAGGGGAGTATTTAGCTCTGAAGATATGTGTGAGAATTTTGACGACGACCGCTTGGGCGGGTGAGATGATATCCTTTGGTTGGCCAAAGTCTGAGTATGCATGAGACATGAGACCGTTCCTTAAGACTGCATCCATTATTTGCACCATCATCTTGAAATAGAGCTCATCGTCAGGAAGGTCCCATGCGGCGATGAAGATCAAGAGTTCCCGAAGTAGATTTCGGCCAGTCTCCTGGGTGAGCAGGATATGGCATCTAAGAGCCTGCATATTCCTCGATCCGGTTCTCTCGCCACCCTTGAGGCCAAAGCTATCGACGATACCGGCTTGAATAATCATCGGAAGCGCCTCTATCTCCGCAGGGCCCAGTACTAGAGGAATATCCGTCAACAGACCACGTTGTTGATCGCCTGGGCGGCCTCGATAATCATCGTCGTCCTCATCATCCTCTTCCTCTTCCTCCTCCATGCTCCCATCTGCAACGGCCTCGAGGCTACGTGAATCGTCGTCGCCAACTGTTCCTGCATCGCCTGCATCGTAGTCCTGGTCTCCGTCGCCCCCAATCTGGGATGACTCTTGCAGTCGTGCCATCAGCTCATCCTTTGCTTCCTGCAGCGTTTCCGCAGCGGATTGCGCAGAACGTGGCATGCTTGTATCTTCTTCCATGATAGCCGCATCCCCTGCCGCAAGGGCACCATATGCGTTGAGATCGGGCAGGTCAGCCCAGCAAATACGAGGGAACCCGGCTGTTGAGCTGCGGTCAATTGTGAGTATGGATTTCTTGCGTGGCGGCTCGTCTTCAGGAAGGGCGGGAGGGAGGTCTTTGGCCCGATCTTGAAGGTCTGACCATCCGTCGACCTTTGCACCGAGTATTGCGGTAAGGGCAGCACGAATCTCCTTGACTTGTTCCGGGTCTTTGCCCATTTCTTGAATAGCTGTGAGGTCGCGCCCAAGTAGCTTCTCCATGTGATCCTTGATGTTGGCAAGAAGTAACATTGCGGCTTCCTCCTTTATCGTCGCTGGTTCTCTGGGGAAATTAGAGATGGTCTCTAGTAGCAAGTCTTCTGCTGTTTGGTCATAAAGAGCCCTAATGGGGGGGTTGACGATTCTCTCTCCGGTCTTCACGATCGGCGCCGCTCCCTCAGGCTGGCCACTGGCCGGGTCTAGCGGCTCCCTGGGTTGGATAATGTTCGAATCCCCGGTGGAATGGTATCCGAAAAGGTCTAACCAGAGGACCATTTTCCGCTGTTCGTTGTGCATGATGAAATTGTGTAGGAACTGGAGACATGTAATCAACAAGCGCTTGTAGAGGTTAACCACTTTTTGCCAGCGCTCTTCATTCCTTGCATTCGTTTCCCCGTCAAAACCACGAGCGGTTACTCTAACACACGTATCTACCAGCGCTAGGATTCTTTGATCGAAGCCTTTCTCCGCCGCCATATTTTGCGCTTTCTTTGTGGTTGCAAGGAGGTTACGGGCGATAGTACACAAGTCATTTAGACGCTCAATATCCTTGACAAGCGAAAAGTAATTGTAGGCTATCAAATTGGAGGAAGAATGGTCATAATTCGCAGTCGGGGGACACTTCCAAGCAAAGGATTGTGATTCAAGAACTGGGATCGCCTTCGTCAATACATCTGTAAAGCCTTGCCAGATATCGGGAGACAAGCCCAAGTTATGTCTGTCATGAAGAACTTAGTCAGTATATAAAATAAAAAAGGGAGAGCCACAAAAGCGATAAGCAAGGAAAGGGAGGAATACCTAACATCGCTCTCCTGGTGTGTCTTGTACAAGATCTGCTTTCCGGCAGATAACATATGTTCTAAACGTTTATCGTCAATCATCCCGCGAGTCTCATAGTGGCTTAGAGTTCCCGTCAGGATAACCTTCAGCATGAGCTCGGCTGGTGTGCATTTGGGCTTCATGTCAGCGGCCGGCCGGTCTGCCATCTTGACAGAATCCTCAATGATGCTTGCGCGATAACGCTGTTGACAAGAGGCACTTAGAATAATCGAGTTGGGAGTGGGGAAAAGATGAAGAAACGACGCTTGAAAGGTGAATAAATTAATTTTTCCGGCTCCGGTCCCGCCGACAATTGATTATCTACGTCCGCGTCCAATCATTGGTCAAATATACCTCCAAGGGGTTTTTTTTTTTACGAAATATAGTAGACAAAGTACAAACTATATACATCCATTCAATGCCAATGTCTAAGTAGATATAAACTTATAAAACCTTCCGCCGAGCAGGAAATGCAAAGGCATGGCGTACATTATCCCAAAATCCAAGGTCATAGATATTGTCAATTTCTCTCATACTGCGCACCGGGGTCCATCTCTGGTCGATAGGCGCCTCCCGGTCATTTGGCTGATTTATCTCGTTGGAGTCGAGCGAAAAGACGAATCCCACCCGCGGTGCCTCACCTTCGGTAAGGACAAGCACCTGGTCACTACTCACAGGCCAGTGTCTTTGGGGACTCTGGTATTCATGCAGCAAAGGCGAGCTGCCATAGGTCTCTTTCTTCGTTGATTTGAAAGCCATGCCATCAGCGACATACCCTTTCCAGTCGGACCATTTCGCGCTCTCGTTTGTGGTCATGCCAGCCCAGATGAGATAGGTGTGGTACACGAGAAACGCCATCGCTAATGGTGATGTCATAGCCATTAACAGAGTAACACCTCCAATACGAAGATCGTTCGAAATCACAACTGTCCATATGTTGAGAAACATTGGCCAGCTTTGCCTCATAGTTCGCAAAGGTGAACCCGGTGGTATCAACATCTCCCAGGAGCGAGACAAGAGAGAGAAGCCAAGATATGAACCGTAAATCAACATGACAGACAGAGACAGAATGAGGGACAAAAAGTAGCGATAGTTATTCAAGCCAACACAGTTAGTTAGCCATACACAATGGTGGTCGTGCCGAGAAACACATGCTTTGCAGAAACTGCAATGCTTACTCCGTGCCGGCTTGAGGAATTGGCAAGAGCTGCAGTAACGTCCTGGGTGAAAAATGACTCGATCATATGGATAGCGCTCCATCTCTTCTGCGTGATTCTTGGGACTGATGAAGGATTTTGTCACAATACTCGCATATAGGAAGGTATATGGAAGAGTCACGGCAATTGGTATGCAGAATCGGTGGAGCATGGAGACCCTAGGCCATGCGCTCGGAACGAACATACATTGCCCTGTTATTAGAAGCGACGCAAAAAATATCTATTAGGCTTATCAGCAAAGCATCGAAGCACATCAACAAGATATGGAACTGACAAGGACGAGTGGGTGGTTCTCGTGAAATACATAACTACTCGATCGGTTCCAGCAGCGTACAACGCGGCCACCTAGTAAGTAAGAATCAACAGTGGCTATCCTGTTTGGAATATATGTGCAAACAACTCTGTGAAGTAAGCCAATAGGGGTTTTGCTGCATAGAGCATTCATCAGTCACGGCAATTCAAATATGCTTATATCCCTTACCGAAACACTGGCAACTTCCCAAAAAGTGCGACAAAGGTGAAGCCGGAAATCCCTAGAATAACGAGGGCAACGGTCCTCAAAAGCCCCATTATGGTTTAAGTGGTAGAGTTGCCTGTCGCGTACAGGGCCCAACATGTCCCACCCAGTACGAACCTGTACTGAGTTGATATGGAGTGATTCACTTCCTTGGCACTACGGGACAAACATAGCAGTGGTAAAGTTTTTGGCCAAAGAGAAGACACAAAGAGCTGACTAGGCCGTGACAAATAATGTGAGATCCACGTCTCAAGGATCGACAGTATAAATAGAAGACGCTATCTACTATCTACACGTGACACACTTGACTGTTCACCTTGATACTGACGAAGGGGGAAAGCTCACAACCTGCCTTTAGTCAAGTAAGGCTCAATGGTATATAATGGAGAACATTTGGGAATTGGCCCATTATGATCTGCTGCTACAGTGTGTTTTCTAGTTTGATAACAACTTTACTTTTGGAAAAAGAATGAGACAATAAAAGCAAAAAGGAATTCTAGGGACAGCCGTGAGTCGAACACGGGACCTAAAGATGGTTGCTTCTAGCCCGAAGACGTAGAATTGCAATCTTCCACTCTGAACCACTGAGCTACTGCCCCGAGATATGATAAGAGCCGGGTTAATTTGCTTAATAATCATAAAATCTTGTAGGCCTGATCTGGACGTACCATGGTTCTTTAAATGGGTCTGAGCGGCTTTCATTATGAGAGAGTCTATGTTACAGAAAGAACAAAACTACACAAAATCAAAAGCAAATCAAGAACGCCTCATGGTCCCTGCCCCTTTTGACATATAGAATCCTTTTCTGGCACGTTAACACGTGACCACGCGTTACACAAACGCGGTAGGGCACCCGTGATTTGACCAAGAAGAGCACGAAGACCGGACTCTCCAACGGCGGTATCAGGACATAGGTCTTGGTGCGATGATAGAGAAGAAGGGGGCAATAAGGGAGCAGGGCTCCATGGCTCCGTCCGGCCCCCTATTCCAAGGAAAGCAGTTCTGGTTGTCGCAGAACATCCCTCAAAGAAGTAGGTTCAAAGAAACTATCCAGGTATTTCCCTTAATTTTGATTCCTAGAGGGTCCTTCATCTGACGCATACATAGAATCATGGTGGCATAATAAGGCTCCACGAGAAAGATGCGGATATCAAATTGGTCGATCATGCTAGGAAGAATCTCCCACCAGACACGTGAGACAACCACTCTCCCCTAAATATTCCCTGTACATTTCTTTTCCCTGCTGTACATAAGCTCACAGCAGGTTAGTTATTCTTATCGGTACGTTGAGTGGTCTATCCGAAACGGAAAACTAGAGGATCTCGAGAAACATAGAGCTGGTCCATCTGCAGCTCGCCCTGTTGGGGCCACGAACATTCCAACCAGAAGCCATAAACTTCCGTACACTCTGGAAGATGACCAGTTTCTCTGGGACTGGATGTCACCGTATGAAGAAGACTCAAACGCCCCTATTCAAGGCAATAGGATCTATCAAGAACTAGCCGCGCAGGTAAGTTAGCACCTTACCCCCAGAAAAAGAGAGTTACGTCCTTGAAGTCTAAGAGTCTCTCCTACGCAGAACCGTAGACACCCTTATCAATCATGGCGTGATCGGTATCTTAAAAGGCTGCGTGGGCGCCCGCGTCCGGGAGGCATGCCGAAACAATATAATTCTGCTTCTCCCACCCAGGAAGGACTCAGAAAGTCTCCAGGCCGAGAAAAACCAGAGCCACAAAGGAAGCAATCCCACAATGGCCATGCAGCCGTTGATGAACTATACGAAAGAAAACGAAAGCGCACTCCAGATCACAACAATCCAGATCGTGGAATGAATGGTGTTGCAAGTCAGAAGAGAAGAGCAATCGATAAAACGCTCTTAGATTCAACTCATGCTGTGTTGAATGCGCAACAAAGCAAGTCACCAAACCATCAGAATACCCCGACACCTGCGTCTCCGGCGATGAAAGAGACACACATCATCGGAGACCCGAACACCGACACATTAGGAGCTGCAGAATCCGAAAACCCTCTGAATCATGATCTAGACAACACTATTGATCCATTCTTCCTAGAACTCCCGTTCTTACCTTCAAGTCCAAACTCTGAGCCCGAAGAACCTCCCTCGCAGGACATCCAGACGTGGATTGATACCCGTCTTCGGACGGGAAGAGCAGAAAATGAGGCCCAGATTATCGCGGCTTTACGCTGTACCAGTATGGATTCGTATTTAGCAGATAAGGTTTTAGACTACCTAACTGCAGGAAAAGACATTCCCAACGATATACCTGGAGTGTGGACAGCCGAAGACGACAGATGTATTGAGGCAGACCAGACCCGACCCATCAAACGTGTCTTGGAGAAGCATGGTTCAGAGTCTTTTAACGCCCGCTGGAAATATCTTGAAATGGCCAGAGCAGCTGGCCTTGATGGTACAGAAAGCTAGCAATTGTCACGTCATACATACATACATACACCGAGTGAGCCTATAAAATACAGAACGATCGTCGCAAGCGAGAAGCAAAGGGTATTAGCCCGGAATATCCGAGGGATGACAGGAAAGCCATGAGCTGCTATGTGATGTCTTTCTCTCTTTTCTTTTTCCTTCTCTTTTTTCTTTTTTTTTTAGTTTCCCAGAGATACCAATTGCCCACATACTTCAAATGATAAATTGAGAAGACTAGCGGAACATCCATTTATGCACTGCGATCCAATAGTGCTATCTATCAATAGAGACAGCCAAAAAGCTAGAATCAAACCAATTACACCCCGAGCTTTAAAAAAAAAAGTATGGTATAGCTTGAAATTAAGCGTCTTTGAAAACCCTAAGAATGGTTAGAATTTAACAAATGTTGCGAAAAATTTCCAGAGAAGGTAACCCACAAATGGTCTTCGTAAAATTTAAGCATCTTCTGGAAGTTAGTGATAATTTCAAAGGATTAAGTGAACCAAATAAACTTGCCTTCCTCGGGCACCTCTCATAACACATCTCAAGTGAGACCTTTGACTTCTTACCGTTCTTCCAATGAAGATACGCAATGAGATTTGATGTTTCTGGGTCACGCAAAATGGTATCAACGTTCTGAACTTCGCCTTCCCAGTTTCTAGACTTCGGCACCCAGTTGGGAAGCTCATCGCCATCGTCATTCTCAGGTGTTTCTGTAGCAGCGTCCACTCGCGACTTTCTTCGCCTCTTGGGCTCTGTCTTCTCTGGTGCTTGCTTGGGGCCTGTCATTGACTTTCGTTTTCTTGGTTGCGGCTTCTCTGGTCGTCCCCCATTGATACGGTAGTATTCTTCAACCAGGTCTTTTGCGCCCTCCCTGGCAAAGAACAATCAGTATACAGGTGAGAGCTAAGGGCGTGCAAGTACGTACATCAAGTTTTCCTCAGGTTCCATCGTCTGGTCAGCAGGATCATCGTAGCCCTTCCATTTCACCTGGAGGAGGAGCGTTCCCTATCCTGGAGTCAGCCATGGAAGCTCGCATTTGCGACAACTTGATGTCAGACGGTGTAGTTATGCGCACATTCTTTGCAAAATCATGGCCTAGAATCTTTTCCACGACATAGCTACTCGCGTCAGCCCCGCTTGTCGGCTATCGGTACACATCGTAACTCACACGCCCTCCTCGTCAACGTCATCGTCCTCCTCCTCATCTTCTTGATTGCCGGCGCCGGGGTTTTTCTCCTCTTTCGCATCATCGTAAGGAATAGATTCCCCGGTGGACTCGTCGTCGGAAAGGTTCTCCAATGGTGCTATGCGATCGTTAACTCCATCTAGCATTCAAAGCGCGTCAAGTCATTTCATCACTCACGAGGCATTGCTAGCGCGGACGACGTAAACTTTAAGATCCGGGAAAACAGCTTGGCGGATTAAGTTAATTGCGGGCTTGAGCTTGAGCTGTTTCGTAAGCCAACCTGAAAACGACAGGCAATTGGAGTGAATGATGATAGTACATGTTGCTTTAGACGCTGCTTCAGTCGCGCAGTCGCGTGAAAGCGGAAGGGCGCTAATCCCGATATGGAGACCAGCTCACTAGCCCGGCTGGGACATCAGAACATCTCCAGAATTTCTAAAAAGGTCCCCCGTCCAGAGTGAAAGAGCGTTGGCTGTGTCTCCCTGAACTCCGCACGTCACCGTGATAAAGTACTTTGAGGGATTTGATATTCCTTTGTCCGCCGTACTTGCTACGTTTTTCAGATTTATTTGAATTTAGACCCCTGCCGTGTGGCAGACCGTCAGAATGGCGATGCGTATGTCTTCCGTGCCCCTCATTGAAACTGACTGTACTGACGTTCGCAACCTCCTTTTTCAGAGCTTGATTTGTCTCAAGGTAGATCCTTCCCTTGATATTAATAACTCATACATTCTCGGAGCCCCCTCTGATAGCCCGACAGCTTCTGTGTTGAAAGATGAACAGGGCCGGCCGTTCATCGTTGTTCGAGAGTACGTTGCGGAATCACACCTAATAAGATTAGGGGCATAATATCTTCGGGGCAAAAGGCTGACATTCCGGATTTTAATAGCCAGGGAAAGAAGAAGAGACAGCATGGTACCGAGGCCGTGAAATCGCACATTGTCGCTGCTAAGACTGTCGCCAACATTGTCAAGTCTTCTCTGGTATGATCTGGGCATGGAATTGCGTTTCGACATCATCTAAGAACAATATAGGGTCCTCGGGGTCTCGACAAGATCCTCATCTCTCCGGATGGCGATATCACTGTGACCAACGACGGCGCAACCATCCTGTCCCAGGTTCGTCTACAGTTACCGCCGCCGTAAATTGAATGATGGCTGACTTGGTGGGTTCTGAAGATGGAAGTCACAAACAACGTGGCCAAGCTACTGGTGGAGCTTTCGAAGTCTCAAGATGAAGAAATCGGTGATGGAACAACTGGTGTTGTCGTCCTGGCGGCAGCCATGCTCGAGCAGGCGTCTGACCTGATTGACAAGGGCATCCACCCTATTCGGATCGCAGATGGCTACGACCAAGCCTGTGAGATTGCTATTGCACAGCTCGATAAGATTAGCGATGAGGTTCCTTTTACCAAGGAAGACACTTCCAACCTACTGAAGGTCGCTAAGACCAGTTTGGGTAGTAAAATGTATATGAACAGTTTGGATGCGATATTTCCCCTCTTCTGCGCTAACTACTCGACAGTGTTTCCAAGTCTCACGATCAGTTCGCCAACATCGCCATCGATGCCGTGCTCTCCGTTGCAGACCTCGAGCGTAAAGATGTCGATTTCGAGTTGATCAAGGTTGACGGCAAAGTCGGTGGATCCCTTGAGGACTCGCTACTGGTCAAGGGTGTTATTGTCGATAAAGACTTCTCTCACCCCCAGATGCCCGATGAAGTCAAGGATGCCAAGTTGGCCATTTTGACCTGCCCATTCGAGCCCCCTAAGCCAAAGACGAAGCACAAGCTTGACATCACATCGGTCGAAGAATTCAAAAAGCTGCAAGACTATGAGAGAGAGAAGTTCACAGAGATGATTCAGCAACTCAAAGACTCGGGGGCCAACCTGGTTATCTGTCAGTGGGGTTTTGATGACGAAGCCAACCATCTCCTTCTCCAGAACCAACTTCCTGCCGTACGATGGG